AATAAAAATAATTTTTAAAAAAAGCGATTTAAATCATTGATTTTTATTTAAAAAATCAAGTTGATTTAAATTTAAAAAATCAACTGATTTTAAAAATCAACCTGATTTAAATCAACCCAACCCTGTGGCTTACTGCATGTGGTTGGGAACGGATAATAATGTAAAGGCCACCTCTATTCACACCCCGGGTGAGAATAGCGCAGGCGAGTCTTTCAGCTATTCTCACCCGGTTTGCGTTCACCGATAGCCTAGATCTAGGCCAACCAATTTTGATTTCACCCTGAACCACAGAATTCTACAGTACAATGTGATATAACAGAAAAATTGTAAATTCTTTGCCGTGAACAAACGTTTCATTACTTCTGTTAGTGTTAGCCTAAAAGTGTACAATTTTGTCTGTGGGCAGTGGAGAGAGAGAAGAGGGGAGGAGTAGATCTTGCAAGAACTTCCGGGCAAAACAAAATGGCGACCCGCTTAGTTCGGCTCGATTCGAAAAGTGAAATAGCCATAGCATCTTTGTAGACGATCAAATTAGCTTACTTTTGTGCTATAACGTAATTTTTTCTTTGCTTTTTTATCCATTTGATCATCCACACCGATAGAAAGTATTCCGAAATTAGGAAAAATAGGTCTTGTTTCACACTGGGTGAGAATAGCCAACGGTGGCAAGTCTCACCCGGGGTGAGAGGTCGATCATATTTTTATTCTCACCGCGGGTGAGGATAGCCACTTCCTTTTATACTTTATTGCCCTGGAGAAAAATGTATAAAGTTCATATTTTTATATAAATTTCATGTGATTTTGTAAAAAAATTATGAGTGGATGTTGCATCTAATTACTTTGGGAATGACGGCTATCCTTGAAAAGTATAGACTTATAAGGGAAATTTTATTTTTTAAACAAATAAAAAATATTGAGAATAGACATTTGTGTTATTTTCAAATTGGGAGTGTATACAGACCCGGTAACCGGGAACAAAGTCACAAAGTATACAGACCCGGTAGGGGAACTCTTTTGTGATTTCGGAGAGTTTCAGCGCCCTCTTGGCTCAGGGTAGACCTAGGTTCTTCTAGATCTATGGTCTAGATCTAGATCTAGGCAGACATAAATCTTTGATCTAGTTTC